TAACATTACTCCATTGACATGGCTCTTGTCAAGGTCACCAGTAACCTCAATGTTGATGAACCCAATGATTAATTCTCAACCTCCAGCTTGTCTGACCCCTCCGCAGCTTTGGACATAGGGCTTTCCTCCCTCCTGAAGTTCTCTCTCACTTCCTTTGGCTTCTAGGATATTCCTTCTATCTCTTTGAATATATATTTTTTTAACATTAACAACACTTGTGCTGGTTTCTCTTCATCTTCCAGACCTCTTCACCTTGCAGTGCCCAAGGGTACTGTCCTTGAGCTCCTTCTCTTTACTTTTTTTTTTTTTTTTTTGAGACAGAATCTTGCTCTATCACCCAGGCTGGAGTGCAGTGGTGCGATTTCAGCTCACTGCAACCACCACCTCCCGAGTTCAAGTGATTGTCCTGTGTCAGCCTCCTGAGTAGGTGGGATTACAAGCACACACCACCATGTCCAATTAATTTTTGTATTTGTAGTAGAGACGGGGTTTCACCATGTTGGCCAGGATGGTCTCAATCTCTTCATCTCATGATCTGCCTGCCTCGGTCTCCCAAAGTGCTGGCATTACAGGTGTGAGCCACCGAGCCCGGCCAAGCGCCTTCTCTTCCTATATTCACTTAGTTGATAATCTCAAATTTAAATGCCATCCATCTGTTCTTAACCTGTTCGCTGACCACTCTCAAATATTATCTTTAGCCCAGACCTTGCCCCTGAGCTGAGGCTGTCATGTCTTGCTGCCTGTCAATGGCTGCACTTGGATGTCCAATAGGCATCTTAAGCTTCATATGCCCAACACTGAGCTCCTAATCCCCTAAAACCTACTCCTTCCAGCTTCTCCCATCTCAGTTAATGACAACCGCATCTCTCCATTAGTTCAAGTAAAACGCTTATCGTTGTCCTCGATTTGTTTCTTTTTCTTGCACTCCACCAGCAAATCCTGTCAGAGTTACCTTCAAAATACAGATGACCACTTTTCACCACTTCCATTGCTACCACTCTGGTCCAATCATCTCTCACCTGGTTTATTCAGGTGGTCTCCTAACTGGGCTTCCTGCTTCTGCTTTGCCTCTTTGTTCTCCACGCAACACCTGAGTGACCTGTAAAACCCAGAGTCAGATCATGTCAGTCGTCTGCTCAAAACCCTCCTTATCACTCCAGCAAAAGCCAAATTCCTAACAATGACCTACAAGGCCCTATGTAATCTCTTTCATTTACATATTAAACACATTCCTGCTTCAGAGGCATTGGACTTGCTGGTCTAGTTGGTTCTTAACCTTTTTTGTGCATGTGCCATGGACTGTTTTCGCAGTCTGTGACACCTGTGGACTCCTGAGTACAGTATCTTTAAATCCATAAAATAAGTTCCATAAATTATAAAGAAAACCAATTGTATTGAAATACAACTCTCAAAATATTTTAAAATATATAATATATGTGTTTCTTTATTAATTCATTAAATTACAAGAGATACAGAGGCAGGTGGATCATGAGGTCAGGAGATCGAGACCATCCTGGCCAACATGGTGAAACCCCATCTCTACTAAAAATACAAAAATTATCTGGGCACGGTGGCGCGTGCCTGTAATCCCAGCTACTCGGGAGGCTGAGGCAGGAGAATTGCTTGAACCAGGGAGTTGGAGGTTGCAGTGAACCGAGATGACGCCACTGTACTCCAGCCTGATGACAGAGTGACACTTCGTCTCAAAAAAAAAAAAAAAATACAACAGCTAGCATCATGATTTTGAAGTAGTGATGAGTAAAACAATATTTTTTCAATAAATTACTTGTGAAGTGTAATGATATTTTAAGATATTTGCAACAAATCTACTGATATGAAAATATCTGATTTCTACCAACAATAATATCACAGGTGCTGTTAATATCACTGATTTGTTATCTGTATCCATAATTGAAGAACATGCTACATTTTAATTAGTGAAAATAAAGGTGTAATTTTTTCCTCATGTAAGGTCAAGATCCTCTGAATTCTATCCACAGACCCATGGAGAGGAGAGTCTGCGGTCTCCAGGTTAAGAACAGCTGGCTTCCCTTCCCCCATGTACATACACACATACTCCTATACACAGTTCGCTCCTTTACCTCCTTTTCTCAAATACTGCCTTCTCGGTGAGCCCTTCCCCGACTATTTTATTTAAAACTGCACTCCCACATTGTGTATCACGCTTTCCTACTTAAGAGTTTCTCGACAGCACTTAATAACTTTCAAACATAATATATATTTATTTTTTGGAATTTAGAATAAAATCATGTCCAGTCTTAACCTGCTCACTCTAGCAGCTAACATTTTTACCCTTTTTTGTTTAGGTTCTGGGGTACATGTGAAGGATGTACATGTTTGTTACATAGGTAAACATGTGCCGTGGTGGTTTGTTGCACAGATCATCCCAACACCTAGGTATTAAGTCCAGCATCCACAGGCTATTCTTCCTGATGCTCTCCCTGCCCTGCCCCTCATTTATTGTTTATTTTTTACGTATTTATTTTTGTTTGTGTGTGCTGCGTCCCCAACACCAAGAATGGTGCCTGCCATCGGGGAGGCCTGTGGAAAAAAACGAATGATTACATTTCCAAGAACTCTGTTTCTTCTCATTTCTTTCCTGTAAAAAGTTAATTAATGATTATATCCAAAGTATGGATTGTGGAAAAAGGAAAAAAAAAGTTAATGAATGATTTGTGAGACTTTTAATAAAGATTAAGGAGTTACAATTAGCTTTATCGTTATCACTCTGTTAAAGCTTCCAAGGTTAACCTTAAACAGCAGCAGAGAGCTGTGGAAATCCAAGGATTTTCACAGGACTTCCAGTCCTAAGCAAGAGGTATTTTCAAGAGCTCATTAGAAGGCCTGGATCTCACCCCAAGTCAGTGAACCACCTCAGAGGCAAAGTGCCGCTTATAAACTTCTTTCTTGCCAAGACAGCAAGCAGAACCCCCATCCCCAATCAAAGCAATAACAGTAATACTTTTTATTTCTGGCAGTGTGGTAAAATAGAAACCACATTAGGTCTCAAGGTCAGCTAGATCTAGGAGTCAATTCTGCCAGCACTTACTAGCTGTGTGGCTGTGGTTAAGTTACTAAACCTTTCTGAACAGGTAAGAAGGGGTTTGGGGGAGAAGGAGATGGAATGGCTCCCAAAGTGACCAGTGCGGAGCAGGTGCACTTTAAATGGTCACCCCTCCCTCATCTGTCTCTAGAGATCATCTCTTTAGACTGTGCCACCGTAAACTGGTGCCCTCACTCCCACCCCTAGATATGTGGCTGAGACAGTCATCGGGACCTTGACCATCAAGCTTTGCAGAACGATTTTACCCTTCCTAAAGAAACCCTCTTAGGTAGCTGGCAAAGTGCTAATGGGCACTGTGCACCCTGAGCCAGGTGCTGCTTTACACATACCACATGTATATGTACATACATACATATATGTACATTGTGCACACACGGCCTCAGGAACCCTCCAACCATCCCATTCTACCCAAGAGGAAAGAGTCCAAAGGAGATGAATTCACTTGCCCACATCACACAGCTTCTGAACTGCAAAGCCAGGATTAGAACCTAAGTATTTAACCATTTTGTTACGCACTCCAAGTCTGCAACACCTGTTTTCAGACTCTGAGCTTGGCTAGGGAAAAATCCCACCAATTGACCACTGAGAGCCACAGTCAAGTCTAACTGGGAGGTTATACCCAGATCATCCTCTTGCCAGACAATTCTCCTCAGACTTTGTGAATGAAGGCCAAGGAAGAAGAAATGTTGCAGTGACTCTCTTTGAGCTCATATTTCTTTCTTGTTGCAAAAACTGCTTATTTCAGCATCCATCATCTCCCTCTTTGTTGGGTAGACAATCCGCCCTGCCGGAGGATTTGTGCTGTTATTATGAGTTTGTTTATTATTAGATTTATTTCTCCTATAAGCAAATGTGTTCACAACATTCCATCGGGGAATCTTCTTAATTGTCACATAAATGTCATCTTATGTAAATTGAATATTTGTCTTCCCATGGAAGGGGGTGGAGGGGAAAGGAAGAATAAACAACCTTCAGTCTTGGAGAGGGAAGGCTACTCCTGTGTCCATTCACAACTCACCCACGTGCCTTCAAAGCCAAAGGTGAGCTGAAAAATTATTGGATCATCTTTGAGGGGCAGTCGAGCATGAGGGGGAAGAAAAAGTTGGCCACTGTGCTTTGGGGATATTAGGCCAGGCTCCCCACAACCTGCTCCCGAGGACAGACCACCCCCTCCCAGGCATTCCGAAGAGATTGAAGCTTGAGCCCCCCATCCCTCCCCAACCAGGAGGCCAGTCCTTCCCCTTCCTCGAGAGAAGGTGAGCTCGGCGGGCGCAGCGGGTTGGGTGGGTGTGGCCCGCGGCTCCGGGAACAGACCCAAGGCCCCGCCACCACCGGGTAGCAGCCCGACAGCCCGCCCGCCTGGCGAGCGCAGGCTCTTCTTCCAGAAACTGCGAGGATCCGAGCGCACTGTTTGTGCACCACAAGGTCAAGTCGGGAAGTGGAGCCGGAGGAGGAGGGGCGAGGAGGCGAAGGGTGGGGAGAGGGGCGCCCTGCTTCCTCGCCATGTGCCAGCCTTTGGAAGTTACCCCTCGGTTTTTAACCCTTTCGGGGTAATGGGAAGGAAGAGCAAGGGGGAAGGGGTCGCCCCGGGGCAAAATCCTACTGGGCCAGGATGTGCAGCCAGCCACCTACCCACCCATCGCTGGCTTCTCCACCCCCCGGAAATGCGGGGCAGCGCTAGGCCCCAGGAGGCACCCGGGAGGGGGGAGGGGGCGACGAGCCCAATGGGGACCCTCTCTACGGACCGCCCCTCTTTTCTTGAGGTAGCCTACAATTTCAAGTTTCCCCCGCCCGGAATGTTAGTTTTACATTTGGAGTGGGTGCGGGGAGGAGGGCCGCGCCCCCTCCCCAAGACTCGCGTGCGCCCATCCCCTCCCCTCCCCTCCTGCCAGCACTTTCTGCTCACTTCTGGCGCTGCGAAACGCCACGCGATTTATTCGATTCGCATTTTAAAACCAGCGATTCAAAAGCAGGGCCTAGGGCGAGGGTCTTCCAGCGCTAGAGCCCCGGGGGGCGGGGTGCTCAGTGCAAACCTCGTTCCCTCCGCGAGTGTCGCCTCCAGGCTGTTATTTGCAAAGAAACGTCTTTTTGACGCAGGGAGAAATGGCAAATTTTAAGTACGTCATTAATATGGCGCCAAAAGATTTTTTTAAGTATAAGCTTGCTTTTTTTTTTTTTTTTTTTTTTTTGCGGGGGGCGCCGCCTGGGTCTGGGGCGCGTAGGGGGCGGGGTGTGAGCAGAAAGTGTGAGTGAAAGAGTGGAGGGGCGGGGTATGTGTGTGAGTGTGTGAAGTGTGAGCAGACCTGATGGGACTTGCATGGGCGCAGCCGCCGCTCGGGCCCGGCCCTGGGGACGGGGCGGGCTGGGGGCGCCCCAGAGTCCATGGGGAGTCCGGGCCCAGGGTGCGGGCAGGCTTGGTGGGGGCGCGGCGAGGCAGGGCACCCTCCCCCCACTGGGCCCGCAAGGCTACCTGGACTCCCCGCCGGAGCCAAACAACTGGGCGGGGGGGGGGCGGCGACGGGGGGTGTCGGGAGCGGAGATCAGAGTGAATAAGAAAAAAGTGGCTACTCCCCCTCCCTCGCTCCTCCTGCCCGCCCCCACCCCCCCCCCCCCCCCCCACCCTTTTTTTTTTTTTTTTTTTTTTTTTTTTTCTAAAGAGATCACAAGGAAGTCTTGGTTTAAAAAGAAACAGAAACATACACAGGGGGTTGGTGAATGGTGCCGACCGCGGCCATCGCAGTTGGAGGCTATTTTTTGGGGGGGTGAGTAGCGTCCATGGAGTTACTTTGCGCCCACTCCTAGTGGCACCCGCCCAGGTCTGGCGGGCTGACTGTCCCCGGCGGGGGGCGTGGGGCCGGGGACGCCACGGGCCCTGCCGCCTCCCTCGCCGCGACCCCGGATGGATGAGCGCCCCCCGCCCTCCCGCGCCGGCCCCAGGAGCTCCCGGCTTCGGGAGCATCCTTCCCGCGCCGGTCCCTGCAGCGGCGCGTAGCCGCGGGCAGCGCCCCTCAGGGGGGTACCGCGGAGCAAGGTAAGATCCAGCCCCCGGCGGATGGGCCCTGCGCATCTCCACGACATTATTTGGTGTTTTTGCAACAGATCTGCCAGCGCTCCTCGCTCCCTCGCTCTCTTGCTCGCTCGCTCCCTCTCTCTCCTGCTGGCTGCCTGTTCTAGGAAGCCAGCGCGGGGGGGGGGGATGCACAGCACAGGGGAGAGAGATTGCGCATGTTGGTCAGTCGTGTTTTAAAGAGTACAGTGCAGGGAGGCTGAGAGGGGCGCATGCAGCAACAACTTTTGGAAGGGTGAGCTTGGCGACCTTCTTTATTAATGACTGCGGCAAAGCGCCCCCGGGTCGGAGGGGGCGCGGGAGGGCGGGGGCGCGCCAGGGCTGCAACTTGCCCCGCGGGCTCCGGCCGGGCTTAGGGGCTGCAGCGGAAGATGAGTCCGGTGGGGAGGTTGAGTGGCCGGGGCGGGGGCTCTGAGAACCGGGAGCTATCTGCCCTCCTGCCTCCCCGAGTTTCATTTTGTTGATACGCAGCACGTCCGGGCGGCGAACCGGGCTGAGCCGGTGCACATGACCTCGCGCTGGGCTCACGTGCAGCCGGTCCGGTCCCAGACACCTTCCGGGGGCCACCGCCTCCGCCCTGTCGCCCCCTCTCCCGGCCCGGTGCACGCGGGCGCTGCACGCGGGGGCAGCATGCTCGGCTCCTGGGCTTGGAGGCTCTGCACAAATTAGACAGTTTTTTGGAGGGGCGGGGGCCACCCTTTCCAGGTGAGTATGGAGGGTGCGAAGCCTTGGCGCCAGGGGCGCGGACTGGGGTCGGGGACAGCCCCCACCTCCGGGGCCGCGCGGGAGTCCGGCGGGGGAGAGGCGCTGGGAGAGTGGAAATGTACCGGCGGCGGCCGGAGCGGCGGGTGCGCGCCCGCGGGGCGACGGCAGGGGGCGTGGCCCTTGTTTACCTTCTCCCAACTCTGCCGGTTCGCGTCCCGCTTCAGGGACGGATCCGCAGTCCCCTGCCCTCTGCCCCTGCGCCCTGGGTGTTACTAGGAAGATGCGGGCTTGTGGCGGACCCTGTTTGGGACGCACACACCTGACTCAAATGAGTGACATTGCAGCCCCCGCCCCCACCAAGCACTGCTGCAGTCCCTGTGCCGGATCCCCGGCCCCGCCCCGCCCCCGGCAGTGGCATCTTCCCGGCCTCACCTCCTTCCTCCCTCTCCCTCTCCCTTCCCACCCACTCGCCTGCGCCTGCGGAGCGGCGCCCGCCCGCCTCCTCCCCGCCTGGGTGCAGACTTGTGGCTCCCCATGGTTTCTTCCCGCCCATCCCTGGGTCCTGAAACACCCTCTCTTCTCGGCCAATGGATGAGAGGGGTCAACTTGGCGATTCTCTGCTGTTCTGCCGGAGGATGGGAATGCCTGCGAGACAGTCAGGAAGGCTTCACTCTAGCTTCCAGAGGCCCAGCCCTGTACCCTACTGCACACGGCTACCCACGCCCCTCCTCCGGCCCCGAGGCTCCGCTGCTTTTCCCGGCGTCTCTTAAACCCTTCCCCCGACCGGAGCGTCAAGCCCACCCACCTCCCAGCGCCGCCCCTGGTCCGCACAGCCTCTTGCCCTTCCTTCGCCTGGGCCGGAGTCCCCCGCAGCCTCCTCCTACTCCTCCTCCCGGCTCCCGCTGTCGGAATCACGCCGGCGCGCCTCCAGCCTGCGGTCCCGCGGACTGCCTCCAGGGGCGGGCTGGAGGCGCGCTCAACTCCCCTCCCAGTCCCCTCAGCCACTGCCGCTGGCCTGGGCACTTTTTAACCAGCTTGGCCGTTGGCCTCTTGCTGGAGGCTGGGGGAAGTGAAGGGTCACCAGGTGTCTTTGCCCTATGTCAAAGGCAGACTGCGGTCGGTGAGTCTGGTCTCTGCAGGTTTAAAAACCTCGCCACTGCTTCTAGCACCCCCGGCTCATTTTCTGCAGGATTTCGAGGCACAAAGTTTTATCCTGGGTCAGAGTTTGTAGGGGGTCATTGAGAGGTGTCATATTTCCATTCAGAGCGGTTCCAAAGCGGCTAGGAAGGGGCTGGGTGGGCCGTGCCTTGCCTTTGTCGGAAGGAGGACCCCTGAGATCTGATCCCAGACAGGCTGTCAGGACGCCCCTTTAGCATTTATGCTTGCAAACTGAGTCCTGCGCCTGGGAGGTGTAGGGCCGCATGGCCCCTCCTCTCGGAGTGGCTTTAACTCCCTGCCTTCACTGGTAAAATTCCCAGTAGGACATTTGGCAAAACGGCTGGGCAGGGAGCTGCCAACCGGGCCTGGCTTTGTTTCCTGGGTTCCCAGGGCTTCTCCCCTACCCTGACTTTCTCTCTCACCCCAGGGCCCCAGATGAACGCACCATCCGTCCTGTCCCATCTTCCCTGGACGGGTTGGGACTCGCAGAGCCATCTAGCAAGCAAAGGAGGAAAATAACAACAGAATAACTGTAAGGGGGAAGGAATGAGTAATAAAGCTGACCCAGGCAGGGAGGAGGGCTTTCATGTTTAAGAGATGCTATTTGCTTTTTAGGTCACAGGCTGCAAAAACAGGCTTTGATCCGAAGTGGGCGAATAATTTATTGAGAAAGTTTGCATGGTAGGAGAAAAAAGCGATGTTTGTTTGATCTGGAGCCCTTTAGGTTGTCCCAAGTGCTGTTGGCTGTTGTTTGGAGGAGAAAAGCGTTTGGTTCTGCAGCAAACGCCTCACAGAGGGAAGTCCTCGCCCCAGGCAGCAGGACTTGCAGTGAATGTTGGTTTTGAAACTGTTTGGCCAAGGGTCTCCCCAGCACTTTTGGAGATGAAGTGTTTAAGGATAGAGTTGTTTGGGCTCAGGATGCAGCAAATGTTTCCAGAATGTTTTCCCATCCAAAATGCTTTTCCTTTCCCTAAATTGCCTGGCTAAAGAGCCAGTAACAGTGGTCCAAGAAATCTCCACTTAGCTTTCATTGACTGGTGAGGTGGGACTGCCGGTCCCCAGGCCCTAGATGCACCACAGAGTCTTGAAGTTAGGCCTTGGACACTGACTCCCATGTCCTTGAGGTTGGGGGGCAGGGTATTCTGGCTGTAACCCTGTGTTCCTTTTAACAGGAAGGCAGTTGTCTTATGCTCATGACACAGGTAAGAGGCTTCTAGTCCAAATTCTTCATAGCGCATGCAGCAGGCTCTTTGGGACCTCTCAGTTCTCCCTTTAGGTTCTCTGATGGGGAGGCCAGGTCAGAGTTGGGGAGCAGGATACCTTTGGCTTGCCCTGTCCTCCAGATGGGACCTTTACCATGTGACTCAAAAGCTTACAATTGTAGGTCACAGCTCAGAGCTCCTGTCAGCTTATAGGAATCTGGAATACTCACACCCACACCCTGGAACTTGTAGGTCTGTACACTTTAGTCCACTGGGGATGGTGTATACCATCCAGGCTGTGCAATTACCAACTACATCAGTTCTTATGTTACGAGGAGCACTTTCTGCAGATAGCATTAATAACAGTACCTATCTCATGTACAGAATAAGTGATTGCATAAAAAAAGACTAAGCCCAAAGCCAGGCATGTGATAAGCACTTGATTAGTACTAGTCATCCTTACCCTACCTGGAGAGGGCTTCAATGTAGCTTTGACCTTTGATCTCTCACCCTTAGGCTAGGCCAGAGAGCCAGCTCCCTTCTCTGCAGAAGGGATCCGAAGGATGCTGCAGGTGCCAATGGGCAGCCGATGTGGGAGCCAGTGGACTGAGCTCTGCCCTCTCTGGGACAAAAGTAGGGTGAGAAGGTTCTGAAGAACAAAGTAGACAGAGCCTTTTCATTCTCCCAGCACCCCCTTGGTATGTCCCCAGAACTGGTCTGGAGGGTGGGTGTGGGCAGTGTCTTCAAAGGGAGCTGGGTCCCCTCTGGGACACTTGAAGTTGCAGACAGGTGGTGGCGGGTGTTGGAGCAGGGTTCGGGCTCCCCTAGGCTTGGAGAAGCAGGTCCGGGAAGCCAATTGGAGGATCCTAGGCAGCAGCCCTCTACTCTGTGTACAAAATCATTTTTGTAACTGCAATTACTGTCCCTGAGAAGGCATTAAAGTTAATGAGAGATAGGAAAGAGTGGGGCTGTGACCCCTGTTTAAAGCGGTTTAAGAGTGTGCAGCTCTTGTTTTCTGAATGTCTGGCCTTCCCAACACAAGGAGGCTCTGAGGAGAGGTTTTCCAGCCGAAATATCATTAAATTGTATTAGCATCTTATTACACACACGCCTTCGCGGTCTGCCTCAGACAGGGAGAGTTTTTGTTTCTCTTTGAGAGATTGTGTCTGGAATGGTAAATGGCCTGCTTGAAAGCCCTTTTTCCCCTCTTTTTAAGGAGGAGGGCGAAGTCCTGCTGCGTGGTGGCGGGCAGGCCAGGCCTGGTGGCCCCGGGAGAGGAGAGGCTGGAGGCCAGGTTGGGGTGTTTTAACTGCCCAGGGAGTGGCTGCAGTAGTAGGCCTGAAAGACCCACTGTTCCCAGGGTCAGCTGGAAGGGCGTTAATGGAGGCCCAGGGTGTTTATTTGAGTTTATTTGCAGAGAGGTCTTTAAAGGGGGCTGGCATTGGGCATTGGCGTTTTAAGTCCAGACCTGAGGCACCCACTAAGACCAATCACTAGTGTTGCCAAGAAAACATCTGCCACCAAATTGCTGCCCTATTACTGAGTTGACATTGATCATTAGCCAGGAGCCCAACCAAATAAAGCCTCCTGGAAAATGTGTGAGGTTAAGACGGAGAAGGCAGGCTGTGAAAACAAGGGCAAAATCTTCGGCTGGGGTGTTTGTTCCAGCAAGCCACAGGCAGGCCAGCTGGACTGTGTGGTCCCAACACTTCTCGGGCAGGGAGCAAGAGCACACTCAGCATTCCCTAGTATGTGCTGGGTGTCATGGGAGGGGTCACTGGGGTCCTGGCCGGAGTCTAGATGGAATGCTCCTTACTCTTTGTGGAACACATTCCAAGGAAAAGGACATGCAACAAGTAGCTCAACAAGCACAGCTGGGATGGGTATTCTGTGGACACTGGGGGGTGAATTTCTTCAGATAGGGCGATGAGCATAGACTGACATAGGCCACAGTTAAGCTTAAACCCGAAGATTGAAGAGTCAGACATGCATAGACTACATAGAGTAATATTATAGGCAGAGTGGAGTACAACCTGTGCACAGGTCTTGAAGGATGGAATCTGGAATCTTTGGCTTGTTCAAGGAAATGAAAGGAGCCCAGCATGGCTAGAAGGTGGTGAGGAAGGGGATAGTGGTCAATATGAACTTGTCCAGGTGGCAAGGGCCAGATTCTGTAGGGTCTTGTGGTCAGGAGCTTAAGATTTGTCCTTTGATCTATGAAGCCTTTGAAGATTTTCAGTAGAGGCATGATGTGATCTGATTTATGCCCTTTAAAATTTTTATTTTGGGCTGGGCGCAGTGGCTCACGCCTGTAATCCTAGCACTTCGGGAGGCTGAAGTGGGTGATCACCTGAGATCAGGAGTTCGAGACTAGCCTGACCAACATAGTGAAACCCGTCTCTACTAAAAATACAAAAATTAGCAGGGTGTGATGGCAGGTGCCTGTAATCCCAGCTAATCAGGAGGCTGAGGCAGGAGAACCACTTGAACCTGGAAGCAGGAGGTTACAGTGAGCCGAGATTGCACCATTGCACTCCAGCCTGGGCAATAAGAGTGAGACTCCGTCTCAAAAAAAAGAAATTTTGTCTTAATTTTTTTGTAGACATGGGGTCTTACTGTGTTGCCCAGTCTGGCCTTGAACTCCTGGGCCCAAGTGATCCTCCTGCTTTCGCCTTCCAAGTAGCTGGGACTATAAGCGCACATCACCATGCCCAGCTTCTGATCTATAACTTTTTTTTTTTGGAGACAAGAGTCCCACTCTGTTGCTCAGGATCTCGGTTCACTGCAACCTGTGTCTCCTGGGTTCAAGCAATTCTCTTGCCTCAGCCTCCTGAGTAGCCGGGATTATAGATGCCCGCCACTATGCCTGGCTAATTTTTGTATTTTTAGTAGAGATGGGGTTTCACCACATTGGCCAGGCTGGTCTCGAACTCCTGACCTCTCAAGTGATTGCCCACTTGGGTCTCCCAAAGTGCTGGGATTATAAGCATGAACCACTGTACTGGCCCTTTTTGTTTTTTGTTTTTGTTTGGAGACAGGGTCTCACTCTGTCATCTGGGCTGGAGTGCAATAGCATAATCACAGCTCACTGCAACCTTAACCTCCTGGGCTCGCACTTCAGCCCCTTCAGTAGCTGGGACCACAGGCACACGCCACCACTCCTGACTAACTTTTGTATTTTTTGTAGAGTCATGTTGCCCAGGTAATCTTGAACTTCTAGGCTCAAGTCATCTACCTGCTTTGGCCTCCCTAAGTGCTGGGATTAGAGGCATGAGCCACCACGCCTGGACTGATTTATGCTTTTTAAACATCACCCTGGAAGTTGGATGGAGCCTGGACATGGGTGGAGTGATAGTGGAAGCTGGGAGATGAACAAGGGGTTCAGGCAAAAGATGAGATTGGCTTGGACCAGTGGTGATAATAGGAAGAAATTGGGTGTGTTCTGGAGGCGGAGCCTAGTGGACTTGTTGGGGCCAAGGATACACAGAGAGGCTTCTGCTTCATTGAGGCGAGTCCATGACACCCACACTTTGAAGGAGAGCTTCCTACCTGTGTCCCTGTGCTGGGGGTTGCATGAGAGGTGCCAGTGGGCTGGTGCAAACGGCAGGAAAAGGAGACCCTTTCTTTCCTAGAGTCTCCTTTATAGGCAGGATTTCAGGAGCACTTTCTGTTCTCGAAAGCAAGTGCTTTGTGACACTGAAATCTTCCAGAGCAGACCTTGCTTTGGGGGAGATTGGGGAGCCCTGAGGAGAAGAAAAACCAGAGGCCAAGGTCACATCTAAGCACCTCCACCCTCATGTGTGTTTGCAGTCCTGGATTTCAGCTTTGGGAAAGGAGTCCTTCCTGAGTCTGCAAGGAGGGTGATTCATGGGGCAAAAAGCTGACACAGTGTGGCCCCAGGCCTCATCAACCACCGTGATGGTGGGGGCTCGCTGGAGCAAGGAGGGCTTTGGAAGACTTGGTTTAAAGGAAAGAAGCTGCACTCACAAAACAGCGGCTTCCCTCTCAAGCCTAGTTACCTGCTCCCTTAGTAATAGCCTCCCATGGGACAGCCCCGACGCAGAACAATCCCCAGGCACTGTGGGTGTTTCGTGGAGGACAAGGTTGGGTGGGGAATGGACTCGGTGCGGGGTGTAGGTTTGCATGCTGACAGTCACCTGTTGGTCACTGGGCAGTCGAGAGTCCTTTCTAGGGCACCTTCCTTCCTGCCTCTCTTTTAGGAGCCCCTGCTCTGGGACTCTCTGACCTGGTCCAAGTCTGCCATGGTATTACTAACTGGCACCCATATGGATC